ATAATTTTGGGGGTCATTAGCCCTCTGCAGGATTGGCTTTTCAGGTTAAACAGAAGCTCTGATGGTGGCGGCAGACAGGAAATATATTTTTACCTGTAGCAATATGCATTAGCTGCATCATTTTCCATCCTATAAGGTCTCGTTAGGCCAGCCATAACAAGCACTTTGTTTTCAAAGGTTTGTCCCAGGCATGGAAATAGAAACACTCCAGACTTTGCCTTTGTTCCCTCTCAGATGTTTGTTTTCTCAGAGATTTTTCTCTGAATGGGGGAAGATGTTTGAACTAACAGCAGCACTCTTTGGCTGAGGCTTATGGACGTGCATTTTATAGATACAATCCATACACAAAGTAATTGCAGCAGCAGAAAGCAAGAGCTCTGTGGGGAGCAGAGCCCGGTGCCCACACGACATCCCCTGGAGATGCCGTTGCTGGCCGGGAGGCGCGTGGTCACCGGTGCGGCTGGGGCAGCCGGCTCGGGGCAAGGGCTTCGTCGAGGTACCACCACGTACCGGCAGGACCACGTCCGCCAGTATTAAATAATCCCACTGATACCGGTTCACAGCCCACAGTTCTCCAGTTTGTGCATTGTTTGTCACCCTTGGCTCTCTGCGGTGCCGGCAGCTGCTGCTCGGCCCCCGGTGCTGGGCTGGTGCTGGGGCTCAGCCGTGTTACTGGGTGTTACTGGGAGGAGTGGGCAGCTCTCAGGTGTGGCACCACAGCATTCTCTGCTGCTCCCGTGGTACAGGTTTCTTCGTGGGTCGCTGGAGAAGCAAATGAGTTCTTTAATTGGATTTCCATGAAAATAAATATGAGCTGCTGACCAGGCTGCAGAAATGTAAATCGTTAACGTCTGTGCAATGAAGGTGGTCAGCGCAGCGCTCCCCCCGCCTGCAGCACCCCGGCTCCCCTGCATTTCCCCTCCCTTACACGATGCTGACTGCGAGGCAGTGCAGCGGAGAGATATTTGCTGTTCCTGCATGCTTCCTCTGCACTGAAGCTTGACTACCAATTACTCTGTATTAAATTATGTTTGGTCATGATGGCGATTATACAGTATCCAAGCAACCCAGGCGTAATCTAATTTAGCACACAACATGGATTTACTCCGCTCCCATTCTCCTTTGTTTTTCCGAAAGTGAATGTGAAGTGAGCGGGCGTCCACGGGCACTGCGGGAGCCCCGACCTGCCCGTCCGGCTGCAGGGACTTTTTTTTTGCGGGGCCGGGGCGCCTCCTGCGCGTGCGCCGAGTGGGTCAGGGCTCCCCGGAACCGAGTCCCTGCGCTGGGCTGTGCGTTGGCGATGGCGTTGCAGATGGCAGATATTCCCCCCGGTCTGTCGCAGGCTGCCGGGCCGATCTCCCGCTGAGCCTGGAGATGTGGGGGAACCATCGTGTGCCGTGAGGAGGAGGAAGAGCCCCGAGTCCAGGGAGGTTGTTGAGGCCCCATCCCTGGAGGTGGTCAAGGCCAGGCTGGACGTGGCCTTGGGCAACCTGGGCTGGTGGGAGGTGTCGCTGCCCAGGGCAGGGGGTTGGAACAAGATGGTCTTCAAGGTCCCTTCCAACCTAAACCATTCTCTGATTCTATGAGCCCAAAAGTCAGTGCTGGCCCGGCACGGTGCAAGCACCGAGTGGGAGTTAAGGGATTGCTCTGCGCATTTCTCCCTGAGTTGTTGGTTCCCATCTCCTGCTTGTACTGGAAGGGACTTCTGCAAAGCGTGGATGGAGAGAGAGCTGAAAAAGGACCCATTTAAATTAATATTAGTGCAGTTGCTTTCCGCGTGCACTGGGGGCCAGAAAGAAGCAGCAGGTTAAAAGGAAAATACAGCAAGTACTTGGAAACCTTCTAAAGGGCAGCTCAGGAATGGCACTAACAATGCCTGCCCAAAAGCACCAACACTGAGCACTTTGGGATGAGAACAGCCCATCTTTAGAAACGGCAGAGTTATTTTCTAGTACAAAGGCTGATGAAGAGGTATGATTTATAGTAAATTATCGTGTGGATAATGGTGGTGGAATTTGAAGGATGTGAAAGGTGAATCATGTTTTGTAGTGCGGCTTTGGTAACCGAGCGTTGTGAAGACTCCTGCTGGAACAGTACCTCCGGTACAGACCACAGGTTCATGTGCCACCAGACCCGCACCGCCGCGCAACGCCTTCTGTGCTTTACAGGCACGAAGCAAAGCCATCGGAGCGGAGCTCGGTGCGGGCTGCGGCAGGGAGGCGAGGGCCGGCGCGCGTGTCCGGGCGCGTGGGCATTCCTCGGGCAGAGGGCAGAGCCAGCGCTGCGGCCGCTGCTGCCGGACCGTGTCCTGATTGGGAAGCCATTAATAGTTTAGCCTGAAATAATTAAGGGGCCCGTGCACAGCTGCCTAGCCGTAATGAGTCAATGACAATGCAATTTATTAGAGTGATGTATTACATGGTAACGGTAATGAGAAATGGAGGGACCTAATTTTGTAAGACACAGATCGATTCAGTTGTTTTTTTTATAAATGAACGTTGTTTTACTAACCACAGAAGATCATTAAAATTATTATTTTATTAGTACTTTTCAAAACTATTTGAATTACAGCTGCATTTTTCAAAATCCAAATAGGAACATGTGAGCGTGTGTCTGAAATATAGATGTTGCAACGTAAGACCGTCGTTGGCATCTGTAAATGTCTGGGCAGGGAGGTGTGCTGGAGCGGGGGAAGAGGTTTGAATCCCTGTGTAAGTAGGAGGCTTTTTCCTGTAAGTACGCGAGTTTTTTCCAAACTAAGAATTTGTTTCCTATTGGACTTCTTCTGCCTTTGTCTCCGCTCCACGACGTCGTGACCCCCTGAAGAAAGTTTGCTTCTACCCACCGGCTCCGTGGGTCCGGGCGGGCTGGCGCTGACACCGCTGGTGTGCAGCTCGGCCGGCTCTTCCCCCCGGTGGGGACGGGGGGAGGATCTGCCCCTGCCCGGGGACGGGGACGGCGGGACGGGCGGCTGGGGGCCATGGGGAGAGCGGGGTGGCAGCTCCTCAGGTCACCGTCTGTAACCAGAGCCTTCCTCTGGGGCTGCCATCGCCCCCAGCGCTGCGGTTTACTGATACAAGAGATTTCTCAGACACTTGTGATAAAATATTCAGAACTTCCTGAAGTGGGAGAAGTTACGGGTAAGAGGGAGGTACCGCAAAGCTCCCAAGGGACTTTTGCCAGGACCTCCGCACCTTTGAAGTTGTAACCCAAGCCCGGACTTGGTGGAGGTGACGGCTCTGCGTATTATTATATGCCCCATCCCTGGAGGTGTCCAAGGCCAGGTTGGACGGGGCTTGGAGCAACCTGGGCTGGGGGGAGGTGTCCCTGCCCAGAGCAGGGGGTGACACTGGATGGTCTTCAAGGTCCCTTCCAACCCAAACTATTCTATGATTCTATGATATTCTCCAGGGACATAACACGCACCAGGGGTGAGACTTATTGCCTGGAGGGAAAATAGGGCTGAAGTTGCCTTTGTGGGGAGCTACGCCAGCAATTCTGAGCCCCCGAGCACCCCTTGGTGATGAGGTCCCCTTCTGCTGCCTGAGGAACCGTGTACAGGCATGAGGAATGAAGAGTTCTTTGCGGGATCAAGTGAGATTTGGCTAAAAGAGGATGGAAAGCATCTTTTCTTTTAAGCCAGGCCTAGCTTACGCTGTGCGGAAATAAGCTGAGCGTGCACACAGATGAGCACTGTGGTGTCTTGGCCCTGAGACAGTAATAAAAGCTCACGGCAATAACTTTTTGGGACAGTCCAGCGAGATCTGAGTCTGAGCCTCACTTTGTGCTCGCCTGATGCGTTTGTGCAGGGAAAACAGGAGAGAAAGAGCAAAGGGAAAAGGCACTTAAAAAACCCCTTAGGCTGAAGGGGTGTGATTGCACTGCCTGAGGCCGTCGGGTTTCCTGGTTGAAGAGGTCAGGAGAAAACCACAAGAAAGAGTTGCAGCTGTGGGGCTTCCACCGCAGGTCTTCGTTGCGTCACCCGCGCACGTGTTGTTGCGTTACATGTCGTTGCGTGACTCCAGCACAGCACTTGGCCGCAGTCTGTGGTACCCGCTGAGGTTGGTCGCCTCAACCCGGCATTTGCCATGGAGCAGCCGAGTGCCCACGTGTCCTGGCACTCGTGGTCGGACACGGCACCGGGACCTCCAGGCTGCGTCCCCCATCGCGGCGTGCCCTCGGTGCGGGGCTCTCGGGCTCAGCCAGGGCAGAGGACGTGACAGCAGGGCAGAGGACAGGACAGAGGGCTGTTGGTGCTTGGCACCACTGAGACCAGTGGCCGGACTGGAGCTGCTCCAGAGTAACCCCCCCAAATGCACGCTGGTGCCAGTGCCTCAGCGCAGGCTGTTTCGCTTTGCTGAACTGATCCGCTCCCGCTGGGCTGCAACGCTTGCGAACATAAAAACAGACAGAGGTGACGGGGAGGAAGGCTCGAGTGTCGGTGGGTGCCCGGGAGCGCGGCTGTCCGTGTCGGGTGGATTCCGTGGTGGGATGCAGGAGGGCGCGTGTGCGTGGGTCCGGGGTAGAGCCCGATATCCCCCTCCTCCTGGTTTGGTTGGGCTGGATGGGACTGACCTCCGGTGCAGGCGAAAGCTTTAATGGGTGAGAAGGAATTGGATTTTGGAACATATTAGGTCACTCATTCAGTTGGAGAGCAGCGTGTGTCAGAGGTCCAACAATTTGTTTTTAGAAGGGTTTTAAGCATTAATGATTCAAGATGTTTTCCTGGGAGTGGTTTGCAACATGAGCCTCGGTGGCCGGCGTAGCGTCGGGGTTTTATGGGATTAGTCAATTCGCTGAGGCTGAAAGGTCTCTCGTAACACAATAGTTAAATTTGTACTTTTCCACATGGCTGAGCCTTCAAGGAGCTCACCAGGAGTGTAAAAAATGTAAACAGCGTTGTAAGCTGTGTGCCAGCCGTGAGGCAGGGAGGGGGGTTCCGGGCCGGTTAGTTCTATCACCTACTTTTTTTTTTTTCTTTTTTTCTTTTTTTTTTCCAGAGTTGCAAATAATCACAAACAGAACCTGATGACTGTTGCTAATCTGGGTGTGGTATTTGGGCCAACACTGCTTCGACCTCAAGAGGAAACAGTCGCTGCCATTATGGACATCAAATTTCAGAACATTGTGATTGAAATTTTAATAGAAAACCATGAGAAGGTAATGGCTTCACTTGCTTTTTTCAGTGCAATTAATTTATGAAAATGAATTTGTCTCTCTTTACAAACTGCAGCCCCTGCTCCCTGGGACCCCGCACTCCCCGTGGCCAGAGGCACTGGCTTTGCTGCAGACGGTGGGGGGTGGGTGGCTGCTGGTACCTCCCCAGTGCTCCGCTGGCGATGGCGGGGATGTGGGATATGGCGTAGAGGCTCCAAAACTGATGGTTCTTGGGCTGTAGTTGTGTAAGAGCGCTGCTGGTAACCTGCCTCTTCCATGGTCATCTCAGGGTGAGTCAGCATGGCCGTGTCGCCATTACAGAAATCCCCCTTTCTTTCCCTTTCCCTTGTTTAATAGGAATTTGCCCTTAGTTTCAAGAGAGATGAGCGCTAAAAGAAATTAGTGCGAGGTGCACGCTTAGGCTGGCTTCCTGCTTTTCTGACTGAATCCGGGTTTATTTAAGCACTGACTTTATCCACAACGTTGGTCTCCTAAATGACGATGCATTTGTGTTTGTTGGCCATGGGGATGTTCGTGTCTGTCAGTGGCGCGGGGGGGCACGGCGCTGGCTGTCCCTCCCGGCCGGCCGCGTGGGGTGACAGCATGCAAACAGCAGTGCTAAAAAAATGCCATTTTCTTCTAAATTCAGACAGTTCCCTGTTTACGATCTTTTGTTTGTCTAGTTTTGGTTGGTAAGAAATAACTGATTTGTGCATTCAGGCTGTGAAAAAAGAAGTAGAGGTGAGTTTGCCCCCGGCCGGGGCTGCCGTGACTCCGGTGCGGGGTTTTGCTTGTAGACGCCCTGAACTTAACGGGTTTCTGCAGGTTAAGGTGCACGGCTGAGCCTCGGTACCTGCGGTGCGGGCAGCAGTGCCGGGGAACGTCTGCGTGGGGCCGCAAAGGGGCATCAAAAGCGCAGCCAGCGAGGATGGGGAGACAGTGTCTGTGGTTGTGTGTTCTTGAAGAAATTGCTTCCACGGGCGTATAAGGGCCACGGTATTTATTTAGGACGGAGGAGCTATTTTATTCTCCTCCGCATGGAATGTAATGGCGATGATGGCTTAATGACGCGCTGCTGTGCAGAGGGACACGGGCAGCGGTGATGAACCTGTGGTGGTGGGCGCAGCCCGGCTCCCCCGGCCCCGGTCCTGCCTGCCGGAACCGCACGAGTCCTCCTGTCAGCCTTTGGGGGTCACTTCTGCCCGTCCGTCATCAGTCTGTCGGTCCAGAGGAGCACTCACCGCCTCTCCCGGGCTCTCGGTGCTGATGAGCTCCTCGGCTGTGCCGCCGGCGTCACGAGCAGCACGGCATTGCTGCGAGCGTGTTTTATCTCCCTTCCCCTCGCTGTGCTTTATGGAGCGCTTCCCTCGCGGGCCCTTACAGAAACACGTCTTTAGACATGGATTTATTTTTCTGCCTGAACCGAGTCTCGTGCTGTGCCAGCCGAGCGCTCCGGCAGCTGTGGAGGAATCGATGAGGGCTCTCTGCACTGATCGCGGCTGGGAGAGTGCAGCTCAGCAGCCACATCGCATCTCCTACCCCAGCCTGTCCCGGATGCTTCCCCCTCCTGAGAAGTAATTTACGGCACCGGCAGAAGGGTGAACCTGCCAAGTTGGTTACCTATATTCGTCGCCAATTGTTTCTGCGGGTGGGTGTAGGTGGTGGCCGGGCTGAGGTTGCCGGGTTGGAGCCGGGGCTGGCAGTGCGCACGGGGCCGGTGCCGGCTGCCGCTGCTGCTGCCGCTCCGCACACGGGCGCTGCGGGCGAAACGCCTCTGAGCCCCTGGCCCCATTTCTCCGGGGCTCTCGGGAAAAGATCCCGGGGAGGAGGGGGATAGGAAGAGGTAACTTCAAGAGCGGAAAATTTCCTAATCGCAGTCAGCGCCAGTTTAGCTCCCGCTTTAGGAGTGTTTCAGTGTATTTCTTAATTTGGATTGATCGGGGCTCATTGAAGGCTCCCCGCAGGAGCTGCCGTAGGTGATTAGCAATCTGCAAGTCGCCTGCGCTTCTGCTGCTGGTGCTTTATATTGTTTTACGCCGGTGACTCACAGACACTGTTTATGATTAAGTACATTCGCAGGGAAAATGTAATTGATTTGAATGGTTCCTGGCAATCAGCAGCTGTCTGCTATTACATTGTGTTTCCCCCAGGTAAGTGGAATGCCTCTCCCGTCAAAATTACTGTTGTCATTGTGTAACCAAAAAAAAACCCCAACCAGCCGAGCTTGGTGGCTTGGTGATAACATCTCTCGGTCTGAATAACTGCTGGCAGCGTGTTTGCACGGTCGCTTCAGGAGGTTTATCTGATTGCCGGGGCAGTGGAGAGGGTTTCAGGGGGGTTAACCGCTATTCCCCGCTCGCCTGCCTGCGTTTGCCGTCACCCCACCTGAGATTGGGCTCATCTTCCACCTGAGATTATCCCTGGGGAAAAACATTGGTCCCAAAGCCATGCAAGCGTCGGAGGAGGATGCTGCAGGGTACGGTGCGCATCGCCCGGTGTCTGCACTGATTGACGCAAACTCGCCCTCCCTTCAGCGGTGCCACCGGATTCACGCGTGCCCTGCGCACGACGTTTCCGCTGTGCCTCGGGAGCCGTGTGCAGTTTGGGGTTGTAGTCAGCAAAACAGGGACTTTCTGAAGGTTCCCGGAACGGCGGGTAAATTATGGTTTGCTCTTTGTTGCCAGCGCGTCCGACACAGACCATTAAACCCTGTGTGTAATCCAAAAGGTTACATCGTTTTGCGATTTAACAGCTTTCCTGGTCTCGGATCCGAATTGTTTGTTGTACTCACAATAACAGCAATAAACTCTGAGATGGTTTTTAAAGCTTCTCAGCCATGTTCTCCTCAAGAAGGTCTCTGCGCATCAGGGTACCGCAGCCCTTGCGGGTGTCTTTATGATTACAGCTGCCACCGGGAACTGCTGCGCTTCGGCGATCTCCCATGGGTTGTAGTGACACCGCATCTTCTGGAAATGTGGAATTGTGTTGGGATGAGAGTAGAATCGGGGCTGGTGGAGGAGGGACAACGGCTCCATTTGCCTGGAGCCAGCAAACGGGAACCCTGGCAGAGCTGAGCGGGAGCACCGTGCCCAGCTCTCGCCTGCCCGGCGCTACCCAACGAACCCACAAAATGTCAAGTTGCTACTTGACGGGATTTATCCATTAGCGATTCTCAGCCTTTCCTGTGTATGTTTGTGAACATAATACATTAAGGTAATGTGTTATAAACTATATCCTGATTGTATATCATGAAATAGATAAAATTATTTTCTTCCATGGCTCTGGATGTTGCCATGACAGGCAAACCAAGAGTGCATCCTGTGCACACAAGAATAAGGATGCTGTGTTGTATGCCTGGTTACACAGGTGACTGCTAGTTAACACCACACTTCTGATTTAAAAATTAAATGTTAGCCAAAAGTAATATTGAAATACTGTCACATCTCACAATTGTAGATGCCCATCCATGTTCTTTTCCAAAGCTTAAATTTTTATAGCTCTCTGGAAAAGGCCGTTGTTCTGAGCTGTTACAAAATTAAGAGATCGATTTACTGTCTTGATGTTCCCTCCAGACAAAAGGTTGACCAGGTGAAACGTTCGTGCAGCCAGTAGTGATGACAAAGAGGAGACCGGTTTATGCCGGGAATTACAGAGACCCAAACAGTAACCGCAGTAAATGGTGAGGACTAATACTGGAGTCAAAGGCCTCAGCACCTCGTCTTCATTTCATTCTTCTCTGTAATTAGCTGAAATGTTGAGTGATGCTGTTGGCAATTCTTAGCCTTGTATAAGACTTAGTACCACCGATGTTTTGAATGTCACAGCAGCTTCTTATTCCCCGAGTTCCTTGAGCGAGTCCGGATGCGGCTGTGTGTGCGGGAATGCCCCGAGCTGTTGACCGGCGCAGAGACCGGGGCCGGACCTTCGCGTGCTGCTGTATCGCGTCCCTCTGCAGTGGGCAGGGTACCTGACCCGTCCGCTTCTCACTGCCCTTGTAATAAAATGGGCATAATGGGGTGATTAGCGCCAAGCAGGAGGAGATGCTGCAGCGCGTGCCGGGGCGCGGGGAGGCTCTGACGGAGGGGGCACCGTCCCCGGCACCCCCAGTGCGAGCGCGAGCAGCCCGGCAGCGGGGAGCGATTCCTCTGACACCCGCGGAGAGTGGTGCCTCGTCCCTCCCCGTGCCCAGAGCAGCCGTCGGCGCTGGGGATGGGGCCCCGGTCCTCAGCGCTGGGGATGGGGCCGTGGTTTCCCTGGAGGAGGTGCAGGATAAAGGATGTAGCAGCTCCTGCATGTGGTTCGTTCAGAGGTGGGAGAAGTATGTAAAAAACCCTTTAACTCCCGTCTGAGAGGAGGTGCCGCCGGGTCTTTGCCGTTTTGCAGACAGGGGACAAAGTGGTGGGGAGCTGCGAAATTGCCACTTGCATCAGGCCGAGGGAGCGAGCGAGCGTGGTACGGCTGTGAATGTGATTTATGAATCCTGGCTGCTCCTCTCCCACTCCGGCTATTAAACTGTCTCTCTCTCCCCGTTAATTGGCCTCTGTGACTGGGAGAGCTATACAACAGGTTTGCACAGTGAGGAGCATGTCTCAGCTATTCTTGTTAAATTAAAAAATGAAACAAACCTGAGAAACTTTCCTGTGAAGAAGAGGGGGGGGTTGTGCAAGCGATGTCTGAGGCAGATGGAGCAGGAGGTTTTGGTCCAGCAGTGCCGGTTTCCTTTGCTGCTGAAGAGATCTGTGCCGTTTCCCGGTACACAATAGTGGCAAAGTGGCAGCTACAGTGAGCTATTTATCTTACAGTTCTTGAGGTCTCTCCTTAGACCTTCAAAATCAGCGTTGTGCTTTTTTAAATGTAGCTGTTAATTGACTTTTCTCCCTTGCGAGCGGCTAAATTTAGCCTGTGTGCTTTGTGCCGCTCGGAGGTGGTAGAGAGAGCGGCTTTTCATAGCCCTGACGCCGCCTCCGCGTCGCTTCTGCTCCCCCCTCGCCCGCCGCATCTCGGTGGAGATGCCGTAGGGGACTTGGGACACCGCGGAGGTCCGTGGCTGAGCTCTCCGGGGAGCTGCGGTGGGACCCCATCACCCGGCCGGCTGTTTCGCAGCGTGTCCCGCTCTGCCCGGAGTCAACCGCTGCCTCCGTCGTGGATGGGGCTGTGGGCACAGGAGTTCTGCGGGGAGGGCTGGGGGGTGCTGGGG